CACAGGCCAATTTCATCACTTCCTGGTGGAGACAATAGGGATGTGAGAGGACTGGGGAGCCACAATAGGGGAATCTATTAAGCATAAAAGGCAATGGGAAAATGAATGCTACACTACGGCCCAGGGAAGCCAGGCCAATCTTGCCAATGACTGTGTTGGTGAGAATGGAAGCATAGTGCAAGGGGCGGCAAATGGCCATAAAGCGGTCAAAGGCCATAGACAGTAGCACAGAAGACTCCAGGAATGACAAGCAATGAATGAAAAAGAGCTGGGCAAAACAGGTGTCATGACCAATATCTCGTGCCCCAATCCAAAAGATGCCTAGCACTGTAGGGAGAGTGCAAAGAGACAGACCCAGGTCAGTCACAGCCAGCATGGACAGGAAGAGGTACATAGGCTCATGGAGCGAAGGATCTGTTTTAATGATAAAAAGAATTATGCAGTTGCCCAGGATGGAAACCAGGTACATGAAGCACAATGGGATGGAAATCCAGATGTGCGTGTGCTCCAGTCCAGGAATGCCACTCAGCAGGAAGGTGGAGGAAATGCTGCTGCTGTTTTCCAGGGGTCCCAATGTCATTGTGTGTGGATGGAAAGGGTGAGTTGGATTCCTCGCAAATTCCTGAAATGAATTGAGAAAAAGCTAGTGATTGCACCCAGGAAGAAAAAAAAAAAAAAAAAGATTAGAATCAAGTGGACCTAGAACTCTATAGCTCCTCCAGAGTGATTTCCTTCTGGTCCCTGGTTCAGTCTCAACATTTTTAGAGAAATTTTTCTTTGAAATTATTTCTCCTTGCTCCTTCAAGCTAAGAGGTGAGAGCATCTTCATTGTTCTTGTTGGTTATGCTTAACTTTGCCTATCCCTTACGAGAAGACCTTTAATTAAACACTCCTCACATGCCTCTTTTCTACCAGGACTGTCACTAACCTTCCAACTTTTCTTCCAACTTCTCTTCCTTCCCTTTCTCTTACCTTACATCCCTTGCTATTCCTCTTTCATCTTCTTTCCTTCATTTCTTTCTTTCTTTGTCACCTTCTCCTCGGGTCTCCTTGCTATAGAAGCCTAGCTTGATCCAGATAGGTCATAAATGCTACTCAGCTCACAGAATTCTATAGAGAATTGGAGAGTTCATGAATGGCTGCATGTAAAATTATTCTTGGCTGTTGGAATAAGAAATCAAAGCCCTGATCCTCACATCAGTCCGTAACTTGCATTCTCTAGAAGTCTAGGAATTCGATTGCTGTGAACCTAGGTGGGAGAAAAGACTGAAGCACCATCAACCATGGTCACACCCCCAATCACAAGGCAGAGTCCATGAGAGTCTTCAGGACAAAATGCAATGATGCTCATAGGGCTCATTTCTATAGATGAAGAAATGAAGGCTCAAGAGACGACAGTCATTGGGCAGAGGCCATATGCTGATTGAAGCCTCCTGACTTCCAGAGCAGTGATCTTCCTACTCCCAATTAATAAGCCCACTAGAATGTGAGTTCAGAGAGGGCAGAGGTTTGCTTTGTTTAATTCTGTAAAGAATGTGCCCTAATATACAGCAGGTGCTCAGCAATGATTTTATGCATGAATAAGATAAATTTCATTTAGTTAGCTCTTACTAACTTGGTGCATGTTATATCTCCTTAAAAAAATCTTGTGAATAAAATTCTATTAATAATACTATGCTATAGATGAGGAAACAGAGGCTTAGAGAAAATGAAAATGTAAGATCAAAGACATAGTAAATGCCCAAAATGAGATTTTAATCAAGATCTGATTTTTATCTAGATTCCAGACTCTAGACAACCATTACACTTTCTGCCCACAAAGAGGACAATTCACTGTCAACTAGCAGCAGCTAGCGTAAAATCAAGGGCTTAATAGGCCTTCAGAAATAGTGCTGACTCTTTAGCTGAAGTAACCAATAAACTTACTGGGAAAATACACACAAATATATACCAAGATATTTTCTTTCTTGCTCCAAACACTAGTGAAATTAATAGCCAGTGTCAACTCGCTGTCCCCTTGAAGGTCAGATTGGGTTTTGTGCGGTGCTCCTCATCTTCTGCTTTGGCCATTATCAGTGGTCACCACATTACTCATCAAAGTGAATCCAGAAGAGCCAGGAGAAACCTACGTGTCAGGAACAAGCAAACTATACAGTGGTTAACAACATAACTCATAAAACCTAAAGCAGAAAAAAAGTTTGATGTGAAAATGAAGTAGGATTATAAAAAAGACAGACTGTAATACCTAATGAACATCAGCTATTTTTCAGGCACTGTATCAGGAACATGGCAAAAGAAATAGCATTTAGACCTTAGAAAAGCCTTGCAAGTTAATATTATACCTCAACTTGCAAATGAGTAGAGAGAGGCTTAGAGAATTTGCTAATGTGCCTAAAGTCATACAGCCCACCAGTGGCAGAGATGGAATTCAAACTTAAATCTCTGGAGCTCCAAGGCACATTCTGAAAATTTGGGAACGTTTAGATTAACAAATCCAGGCAATTTTTAAAATTAAAACAGCCTAAACTGTGTAGAGATTGAATGACAAATGATAGAGAGAAATATCAAAAAGTCTTTGGTCCCCACCTTCTTTTAGCTGTCAGCTCAAGACAGATTCTCTTCGGAATCAAAGCTTGTGCTTCACATTTTAAGGGAGTAGGGCAGAATAGAAATTGGAGAGAGAAAATTATGAGGATAAGGTGAAGGAGGGGACCTGGACATAAAAGAAAACCCAGAATAGTGAAGCCAGGGGAAATCTGCTCGGAAAAGATCACCTTTAGTCGGTTGGCCAGAGAGATCTGAGTAAGATAACTTCTCTAAGGGCTTCTTATTTAAAAGTCTTCAGTGTATTCATTGTCAGGTTTGGTGAGGATTTCACTGTTCCAGACCAGCACAAAAAGCAGTTTTTCAGGATAGAGTTGGGTGAGAGATTTAACAAATGGTCTTCCTGCCCCTAGTTGTTCTGCTTAAAGAACACTTCCTAGAGGGACCTGAGTGAGTTCAATGACAGCTTCTAATTCCATTATTCATACTCTGTGGTCACTCAGGGAAATGTCCTTTTATGTCATACACCACCTTCTCTCCCAGAGGTACAACATTACTTCCTACCCCTCTATCTTTTTTTCTAAAAAATATCTCCTGATTCTGCTAACTTTGTGTCTGAGGCTAAGGGGTAGATACTGAGCCTATAATAACGGAGCTCATCACATTCTTGTACCTCAGTTTTGCCTGCCTAACTTGCCTGTCTCCCTGGGTCTCAGCAATATGCCTATTGTTACATACAGGAGGCAACTCTCTGATCAGGAAACTAAGGAAGTGAACAGACGTGACAAAGCTGCTGTCTCCTTTCTGAGCTAGTGCTAAAACAGATCTGGGATACATGACGTGAGCAAGATCTGACTGCAGCAGTCACCACCTTCAGCAGGCACTCTCTGCAGCCTTTCTTGTGCCTCAAAGTCCCTTTTCTTCTCTCTCTCTCCAAAGCTCAGGCTGAGCCTTCTGGGACCTCTTTTTGGCTCCGTAACTTAGCACCAAATACCTGCCCACTATATTGACTCCTCACTTACCAAGGCTAGGTTGAGAGTCTCCAGGCTTTACAACAGGGGAGAAGGAAGGTTAAAATCAGAGGCTCTGAGAGGTTGGAGAGACGGGAAGGTAGATGTTTAACTGCCTGATTTTTGTGAAACTGCCTGAGGTCCCCATTGAGACCCTTTCAATTATCTTTAAACAATTCTCTACTAGGATGGCCTCCCTGGACCTTATTATCTCAGACCCTGGGAATAAAAGAAAGAAAGAAGAGAGTGGTCTTGTGAGATGTCTAGCTGGAAAGCCCAGAGGATGGTATGCACTGTAGTTAATTTTTAAAGATCTGGTGAGAGCTTTGAACAACCCCAACAACTTAAGGAAAACAGAGTGGATGTTGTTAATAGTGTTTTATGTATGATGTATCATAACTATATAGTTTATGCACACAATATGTGAAAGTGTGGGTGTTGGGTATCTATAATCACATGTAACATTAAAAGCGGCTTTTAATTAAATGCTTTTCCCATCACCAAAGAGGAATAAAGAAGTCAGGCCAAGTTCTTGGAAATATTGTGATAGTGTTGATGTTTATTCTTGGTGACCCAGGTAATCTTATATGCTCCTGACTCCTGCCTAAACTCAGGGACTCCATTGCCTCTTCCTCTGATCCACTCAGAACTCAGCCCTTTGTTTCTAGACATCAGGGAGCTAACTTGAGAAACTAGTCTATTTTTATAACTTTGTGAGCAACATGAGCCTCTGCAAACAGTAGTTAGACCTGAAAAGGTGTTTCGTGTGTTAATATAGGGATATAAAGAGCTGATCATCCATTTTGGGGCTCTGAAAACTGATAGAGAAGGAAGGAAATTTCAGTTTTCATTACCTACCTAATTAGTCTCCAGCTTATTGGATCTCTTTTGGGAGTATAAAGGTATAAATATTAAGGAATGTCCCAGAATCCCCAAACCAATCATAAGAGGTTATTCCAATTTGTTGGCCT